AACAAACAAACTTTTCTTCCCATCTTCTAACTTTCCCTGGGCTGGGCTAATAATTAAATTAACAGATTAACAGGAGAAAATCAAGTTTTAATACATGCATAGGGAGAATTCACATAGGCAAGAAATTCCAAAGATGGCGAGGCTCCATGGGGTATATAAGTCATGTGGACAAAGGAGAAAAGGAGGAGAATGAGGTGTTAGATTTCAGAAACGAGAATGGGCAATTTACAGGTGGTTGAGGGAGAGTTGAACACACATGGCAGGAGAATTCTTGCTAGGCGACTCAGAAAAAAATGGACACAGCAGGTATCTGCCTACCAGGCCCCTGTCTGAAGACCTCTATTTACCACAGTTAATTCAGGCCAAGGCGACCTCCTAAGCTCTCCTTTCTCTGTCTGAATCTCTTGGGCAGGAAAGGGGGGTGGTGACCTAGAGACAATACATTTGCAGTGTCACTTGGATGGGAGGACAAAGGTTCCCTCTGAGTCTGGTTTCTTAATAAACAGCTTAAAACCAATATCCGGAAAAAAACAAAGCCAGCTTCAGGGTGGTGACTGGGGTGGCGACTGGTTCCCTTCATCTCCCTTTCCGAGTGGCATGCAGGTGTGCTGCCTGAGTCGGCCGTGGCCGACGACGCTGGGAAGCTCTGGTGCTGAGCAAAACCAGGAAGGCCCCCTTCCCTTGCACATGGTTGGGGTGAGGCTGGGGAAGGTGGGCTTGCTGGCCTGCAGCACAGTCTAAGCTTGGCTGACGATGGTTAGAGGCCAGGAAGCGAGGCCTCCTGGATGGAGGTGATACAGCCAAGGCAGGTCCCCTCCACCACCCACACTGACCCCCACAAACACGAGTGGCTGCTGCTTCCTTCAGCCAACCTCCTTGCTGCTGAAGTTGGGGAAGTTATCATTTCCTCTGCATCCCAATTCAAGTTCCTGACCAATTCATTCATTTGTGTGTGTGTGTGTGTCCCCCTCCCCAATTAAGTGTCTGACTGAGCACTTATATGCATGTACAGTATTCATATGCATGTACGTATAGGCGAACCTCTGGGGGATGCAGAAAAGAGTAAAATAAAGTTCCTTTTGTCAAAGGATTGCTATGCATCTTGAAGGCAATGTCTTGCATGTTTCCTCCCTGTGCTGTGAGAGCCACCTTGCCTGATGATGTCTGCACATAGTGGGCTCTTAAGGAAGTTGTAAGTGACCAGAGTGCTTGTCCAGGCGGGTCTTTGTCCCACTTGGCCTCTTGCCATTGTCCCCAGGAGACAAAATAGCATTTGAGTGCCAGACAACATTTCTCCTGCTTTCACTCTGTGAATATTCCCAGTCCCTGGAACTGACAGTCAACCAACTGATGGGTAACAGCCGTTCTCTCTTGCTGTCCTCC